CAGCGCCGCCAAGTCGCTGTCTGCTCTTCCTCTGCTGTGCGCAGTCGAATTCGGCCGACACCTTGCATCGCCACACCAGCGCAAAACAGCTGCCACGATGCTTGCGTGCCCAACGCATCGGCACGCAGCGCTGCGCCCTGTGACAAAGGGATTGTCCTGTCGAATCGCAACACCACATCAGGGATCTTCTTCCTTAGGGTTGCGAGGCTGACCACCGCGGTGGCACTTTGTCTCACTGCCCGACCAGCGATCCAGGAACGGTTTCCAAAATAAGACATCCATACTTACGCAGTAACCCCCCCCCCGTACAATGCGACAGCATTCCCTGACATTGCGTCATGAATATTTTATGTCATGCTTTTCTGGATGCCCTCGGTGATTTTAACGCTTTCAAAATGCTCAGCATTAGCGCATGCCCGCAAACGGCGCCCGAAAAGGGTTTTCCAACCCCTCAAAAAATGGTTCGGGCGCTGCCTGCTCCCAGCACTTTCTCGATAGTTTGGAGTTGCCTCTAGACATACCATGTCATATCAATATATATATATAAATATTAACAGATATCAAAAGATATGAGGAGATATCCACATATATTTCAAAAAACATCTAGAGATAGCAAGCTACATCAAGATTTATCCAAAGACTTCAACAAATATCAAGATCTTGGGATATATCAAGAGATGTCCAGATATATCCAGAGATATTAGGAGATATTTAGAGATATTTGAAACATCAACATATATCAAAAGATATCAAGATACATCAATGACTTTGACACATACATACCTTCTCTCTTGACAACAAGGTGAGAAGCTTTCAAGATCATTGGCTTTTGTTCCCTGATCCCCTTCTTCCATCGAACAGCGCCCGAAAACGATTTCCAAGCGCCTTAAAAAACACGGTTCGGGCGCCGCGTGCAATCATCGATGGGCGCCACGTTCATGAAATAGAAACACTCTTTCCATACCATTGGGTCTTGATTCCCTTTCTCGCCCTACGGGCATTCCAAACCTTCTCGAAATTCTTTCTAAAACCCGGCTCGGGTTGCCGAACTAATACGTTGCAGCCATGATGCACAATAGATTCCAGGAAGTCCAAGACATCACGGCGGCCAGCGAAGGACTGCGCTTTCTGCAAGTCCAAGCGAAAAGCCAAGCGTTGCGGGCTCGTTTCTGACTCCACTTGCGGGCTCGCTGCTGACTCCGCGTTGCCCACTGCCGTCGCCTGCGGCCAGCAAGAACTCATGCGGTGCTGCCTACACCACTCTGTTCTTTACTTCCACATATGACGCAACAACCTGTCAGTCATCGATGCCCCCCTTTCCCCACAACTTTCCCCGACCGCCTCTCGCCATGCAGGCCTCGATTTTCTGTTCGAGCAAATATTTGCGTACACTCCACTCGTCGTCAGCGGCTGTCCGCAACACGAACCCTTCCTCCAATTTCATTGGAAGCCCCATTTCCTGCAGTATTGCTGAGCAAAGGCTTAAGCTGGAGCAAAGGTTGGTGAAGCCAAGAAGTGGGCTTTCATTGACCTGTACGGCAACATCACCGCCTCTGGAAACAGTGCACAAGATTCCAGGTATGTCACGAGCTTGCTGCTCTGCCCATGACACTTGCAGCTCCATGAAGTTCACTCCAAAGGAGCTTGACGCGAAAGTTGACGTCTTCGCCTTCCAGCACCACCTGGAAGCCAATCGCCTTGCGCTTCAGCTCCCACCCTCTCCAAGACAGGAGAACCATCGCGATGACGCTGCCAGTGGGGTCGCCACTAGGCCTGTTCACGCGCGCCTGGTCTGCAGAGGTGATGATGCAAAACATTACGACACGCCTTGGCCTTCTTGAGCTTTAAGAACTTGAGAGTTCCCTTTTGGAGATTGACGAACTTCTCCGACCATCTTTTGGATCTCCAGGTCCATGGCGTGCGCCATTGCGCCGTTCGTCACCAACTCGGACAGGAGGGTGTTACACCTGCCGCACAGGAGTGGCTGCGTCCAAGACTTGCTCTGCAGGCTGCTACGCTGCTACACTGCTTTGACAAGGTTGGCCGTTCCCTACTGGTAGGCCTTGTTGATCTTGGCGCAGATCTCGGACCGCTCTGCACTATCCGACGATGCGATGGAAGTCGTCCACGTGGCCACCCATCACGCCAATGACCTTTGGATGACCAGTTTCATCCTTATCCGTGGAACTTGCCCGCAACCATAGACACCTTTCTCCCATGGCCGGACGGCCACCGACTGAACAGAGAGCGCGATGCAGATCAAGCTATTGGCCCCGACAGGCAGTGGTACTGCCGTATATAATGTTCTTAAGTAAGAATCTTCACGATGCATTCGGGCCCGAAGAGCTTCTAAAGTTCAACAACTCCGCTCGCCCACATCTCTTCATCAGCCGATGTGGGCTTGGTTTGTAGGAAGCCCGTTGCCAGATCCAAGCCTTTGAGTTTCGAACCATGCTGGCGCAGGTGTTCTGGCACAGGATGAGGTTCCGGGCGATGACAGACTGCGCGGGAGAGTTGCTTTTGTACGACGATGATCCCAATTCAAGATGCTCGCAGCCCAGGAGCACGATGCGCGCCATGGCTTTCTTGTCCCCCTCTTTGGTTGAGTCCATCTTGGCGAGCAACCGTCAGGATTGGGCCTGAACTGAAGGCCACAGTGGTTTCAGCATCATTCAAGCTCTTGCGAACAGCTTGGTTCTGAAGAAAGCTGTTCACCTCTTTGGTCTTTGCTTTTGCTGCCGGTGGGGGGTGAAGTTCAAGTCAAACTCCATTGTCGTCACATCGGGGTAGTCATCCATGATGGCTTCAAGGCAAGCCCAACTCTTGTTCTCTTCGATGACCATGTTGTTGATCCATACCATGGTTCACTTCACCATGTTCCTTGAGCTCAGGGAGAGAGGTCGGCGAGCAATCAACACAAAAGACTCTAAAAGAAGCTTCCAGCCGCTGATCTGCAGATTGCGGAGCTGGATCCATCCTGTGACTGACATGTCTTGCAAAAATGAAGTCCAGAAACATAGAGCTTTCCCGTTTAAAGGAATGTCATGCCTGCTATAAGAGATGCAAAGAACAGAAGCACAGTCCCTCGGTGCGAACCCAGTAGCCACCTCCACTTGTGCTATCAACACCGTGGCACGCAGCACTATGCCACCGCGCACGTCTAGTGGAGTCTGCCCGGCGCGTAGTCCAACATCCATGGCACCAGGGACTATTCGGTGGTTGTCTCCTACTGTAGACTTGGAGCTAGTTTCCGCCCGATCCGTGGACTTCCAGGCAAGGACGCAAACGCTATCGGATAGGTCTGCTATCACTTGAGCGTCTAGTCTATGATACATGTAGAGGATGTATGCCGTCTGTTAACGCATACGAGTAATGTATGTAAAAACAAATAGGTATTATATATATTTGTACATATGTGTGTGTGCATTATCCTCCACCAACAACAACTTTGGCACTGCGCACTCCTTCCAGCAAATCTTACAGAAACCTTCAAATGGTCGCGCCCTCCAGCCCCCTACCTCAACGCCCCTGGCCGGCTGTCGGGCGTAAGCCCTTAAATCCGGGCGCCGGCGCACGTGCCCTGCCCGGAGAGCCTTCGGTGGTAACGGAAGGTTATATACGCTCGCCGCCCCAACCGCCGACCCTCGGGCCCAAAACGGGGGGACCCCCTTCCCACTTCCTCTCCACCTCGGGGTCACTGAAGTCCCTGTAGTTTACGGTGTTTTTTGCGTGCGTTGTTCAAAAACATCGTCTTTTTTGGGGTTTTGGGCCCCTCGGCGGCCGAGAATTTCATCTTGGCGATGTTAAAAAACGTAGGTTTTTCCAGGGTTTTTGCTTTGCGGGAAGGAAAAATCGTAAAAGTTGTATCGGACGATTTTTTCAACATAAATTGCCTAACATATCCCCAACATAGGCCCACGATAGCCAACATATCCCCAACATATGCCCAACATAGCCGCATAGCCTCCAAGATGGCTCAACATAGAGCCAACATAGGCCAACGTACGCCAACATAGGCCCAACATAGGCTCAACATGGGCCAAGATGTGCCCAACATAGACCACATGGCCCCACTTGGCCCAACCTAGGGCCAAGATGCGCACCAGATAGCTTAACTTTGCTCAATATAGGCCCCACCAAGGCCAACATAGGCGTGACATACGCCCCACCCAAGTGGGCCGGCGCCCGCTGTTAGGCGTAAGCCTTTAAATCCGGGCGCCGGCGCACGTGCCCTGCCCGGAGGGCCTTCGGTGGTAACCGAAGGTTATATACAGGCGCGCCCCCTGCCACCGACCCTCGGGTCCGGACCTCCGGGTCACTGAAGCCCCTGTAATTTACGGTGTTTCGTGTGTGTGTGTGAAGTTTAAAGATTTACAGGGTTTATTGCGCATATCGAAGTACGACGCGGCGAAGATGGAGAAATGCAAAAAACGCTGTGTTTTCCAAGGGTGGTGTCGGTAATGCGCGCCGGGCGGACAGGCATAATCGACATTTTGTGGGTAGAGGCACTCCAGACGATTTAAATTGCCTAACATATCCTCAACATAGGCCCAAGATAGCCAACATATCCCCAACATATGCCCAACATAGCCTCCAAGATGGCTCAACATAGGGCCAACATAGGGCAGCCTGGGCCAACATACGCCAACTTAGGCCCAACATAGGCCCAACCTAGGCCAACATAGGCCTGGCTCAACGTGGTCCCAAGATGTGCCCAACATAGACCACACGGGCTCAACTTGGCCCAACCTAGGGCCAAGATGCTGGTGCGCTAGCCCGGCCCCCGTCTCCAACACGGAGCAGTTTTCCACCTTGCCCCCACCCAGGGCCCTGTACGCCCCCGATAGCTGCACGTGCACCCGACCCAGCCCTACACAGACCCTGGTGTGCCGGCGCCCGGCTGTTAGGCGTAAGCCTTTAAATTTAATATACCGTGTACATCCGTGTACTGTAACCATAAATTTCCCTAAAACATCATAAAACACAGATCTGGCAAGCACCTTCTCAAGCACAGGAAGTTCATCCTTTCGAAGCTCGAAGACCTGCAGCAAACTTGCAGTTTATCCAACCGTCGGTGGCATAGCTGGAAACTTTTCTGGAATGCACGGTGAATCAGTTCCACATCTTTTCTGCACCTTTCTTCACCCAAGAACGCTACTAGTAACAAAGGGCATCGCTACTAGGAGCAAGGACGCTACTGGGGGCTCCTGGCCATACTACTAGGAACAAGAAGCTACTAGTAACAAAGAGCATCGCTACTAGGGGCTCCTTGTCTGACTAATTTGGTCCACTAAATTTAGGCTTCACCCCTGGTGAGTTTTGACTCAACGGATCAAGGATAGAAAACCAGGTGCACAAATGCCTTCAAAACTATTTAATTGATATACGTGGCGAGAACCCTCTGCACAACAAAATTGATAAGAGAGCCTTATTCAAGGGGGCCTTCCCTTCTATTGTGCTTCTTTTTACTCCCATCTGCAAAGGCACAATCAAATCTCCACCAGTCGTTTTCTTTGCATAGTCTGCACCACATGATCTCCTTGCCTCAAGGACAGCAGCATTTTTCCCGCTGCTCAAGCATTCCATAAAAAGAACACATGCGGAAGATCAAACTAAAGGAGAATACTTGTCAGAACAATACTCGCACCAAATGTGTACATGGCGCTTGCGTGGAGAATCTGTTCGACTCACCGTCCGGCGGCCTTTGCCAGAACATACTCTGGTTGCTTGGACCAAGCATGCGAGGAATATAGCAGCTGCAACAAGTTGAAGCAACCTTCTCCTCGTAGTTTCACCTGCCCGAAATCCGCAAAAGTAAAAATCGCAGTGGCAGCTTAAAATCTATCAATTTGGTCAATGGCAAACTGTCTGCATCCTCACATGCATTCTGTTCTTACTCTTTCTGACCTCTTTTGACAAAGCAGCGACAACTGGGTCGGTGGATCATGACAGTACATGACAGTACCAAAGCTTTTTCTGTAGGTTCTCCTCTCTCGAAAGATTGTTGGTGTCTCGCACTAAGGATGCTTTAGCACCTGAGTACGAATTAAGTTCTAAGTTCTAAGCATATGCAACGCAAAGATTCGTAAAGCATGTCTGTCCCATGCTAGATCATGTCCTTGATCTTGCCTAGGTTGGACCTGCTTTGGCACCAGCCAAAGCCTGTTGAATCGTGTGTTTCCAACTAGCACCAGCGGGAGAAAACCGGGCTGCTGCGAAGAACACCATTGTGCAGTGCCTCCCAGTGCGGCATCACCAGGAAGAAGTTCTCAAAAATTGCGGCTTCCTGACATGAAAAATCCGAAGCCACATTCGCGACCCAAAGTAGCTCTCAGAGTTGTCTTAGTACACAAGCCAGTGAATTGCAGAAAAGTTATCGTCTTCAGCGTTCCGTGCACCTGTGTTTGCGCTGGCTCTCGTTCATAGTGACTAAACATGTCTAATTAGTATCTCAAGCTCTTGCACCTGGGGACCCATACTTGGGAGTTATCCGAATATTTGTCACAACACCTTCGTATGCCAAGGCACAGCTTTCTCTGTAAAGTTTCGTGGAGCTTTGGGCCAAACAAAAGCGACTCCAAGCTGGCGAATCGCTTGCCTCATATATGCTTAGGAAGTATACTTGGGGCTGAGAAAGGAAGGCACGTGCAAGATCGCACAGGGCATGAGACAATATAATAAGACACTGGACAGCACTTCCAAACAGAACTTCTGCAGCAACAACTTCTATCTGAAGGCTTCAGAACTTTTATGGATCTTCCTTCCAACCAAATTGTGCAATTGGTAGCAGCATCTTAAAGGTAAAGCAAAACAAGAGATATATGTATATAATTTTGTATATACAGTTCCTACTGTGGTTTCTTCGGCCACCGCTTTCCAGTCAAGCGGCGGATGTTGTTCCCGAGCGATCAGCTCCAGAAACAGGCTCGACATCAATGAACGGCCATGGTCATGACCATGTAACTTCTCCTAAGCAAAATCTGCAACAAAAGCAAAAACTTCTGGCGAATGCAGATGAAAGCTAGTCTGCCAATATAGTAATTTCCATTGATACAGAATGTGCATTGCAGTCTTGATAGAAGACTATTTCATAACATACAATGTGGCGTCTCATTCTACTTTGCTTTCACAGCAGAACTTCATGATGCGCGTGCTTCCAGTCCAACATGATGGCATTACCATCACATGCTACACTTGCGTGCTCGTGAGGTTGCGCTGGGTCGCAAGATTGTTCAGCATGACAGTCTGGTCAACGCCACCAGTGATGCCGTCCTGACAAATTGGGGATAGCACATGGACATGAGAACAGCCAGCGGGGTGGCGGATACCTACGCAAAGCCCAATAATAACAGGGGCACTGTGTCAGCTCACAAATGCATCTGAAGGACCTTGGACTCTCTTGAGGTATTGGACCTGATTCTTCTTCTCTTTTTGGCTCTTTTGATGCTGTTTCTCTAATCAAAACTACTTGCTGCTCTGGATGTTCATCCCGGTCATGCAGGGCAGTGGGCGTGACAGGAACGCTCGTGAAGCCCATCGCCAGCGCAATGGCCACCCTGTGAGCCCCGTTCAAGAGGATGTCATTCCTTGGTGCGGAGTGACTCGCCCTGACCAGTGCAAAACAAGTATAAGTATATACATGCATACATACATATATATATATATATTATATATATATATATATTTATAACTAGATATTATATATATAATATACTGTGGGACTTTGTGGGAAGTCGTAAACCGTAAAACTGTCCCGTGCATCATTGATCTGAGAAGACTTGATGGAATCAAAAAGAATGGAAACTGAGTGACAGCAGTATATAACAATCGAGAACTGGAGTCAAAAGGAAAGTAAAAGAGTGGACCTGACACACGCTCTTGTACAACACAACTCCCGTCACCAAGCTGCTGATCCAAGCGTACATCGCTGATGGCACCTACAAGATTGCAACAGCAAAAGAAAGAACCTAGAAACAAGAATTCAACCACCAGAAACTGTCATTCCACACATGTGTGGATAAGCAACTTCATGAGCATGAGATAAAGCTACAGCATGGCCCAGCAAGGCGCGTGTGAAGCCCAAGTAGTCCATGGAGTCGATCAAGAAGTTGAATCCATGCTCGAAGGCCTCTGACAAGGTTGGGTCCAAAACATGCGATGGAGGACATGATGAGTATCTCCAACAGGACTGCAGTCCAAGCGGATGGTGAGAGGTGTTCTGGTCCGGTTGATGCCAGCAGCCAGTAGCTTGACATGTCTTCTCAAGGTTCGCAATCTTCCACACGTGCCCGGAGCATACTTAAGCAGCCATTGCATTGAATGTGCTATATTATATATATATATATTGTTGTCAGATCCAGGCACATCAGTCTTGCTGGGCCAGACTCCAATGTTTGTTGAGTCTCGGATCATTCCTTTACCGGCTGCACTCCAAACTCAAGATATTGGGAAGCCTCCTTGAGGCTTAGCATTGCCACAGCCTATCTTGACTGGGACACAACTGACGTCAAGTTCTTCAAGTTCTTGCTTGTCTTTATGGTGGCGGGGTGGCGGTGGCCAACAGAAAGCTACACACAACACATGTTGACGGCCCTTCCGTGAAAACAATGACGTGCCGCCAAAAATGAAGCATGATATGCGACATATACAATGTTCGTGGAAACTGCAGCAAACGTCGGCAGGCCTGAACCCACCAACATCATAATGTCTTGCCTGCCTTCTGCTTCCAGTGGTTCCGCCCAAGTCTTATAGCGTAGAACAATACAACATGCAAAAACTAGTGGCAGTACTAGTGGCATGCCCCGTGCATGAGGACCAAATCCTTTGTGGTCTTACTGCCTTCAAGGTTGTCCCTTCGCTTATATAGTCATATCAAAGTTTGCAGACTGAGACACCATGCCAGGCAACTCCATGAAGTATCAACAAGCAAAGACAAAGGTTGACAGCCAAACCCCGATGCGGCCTCCTTCCCAAATTTTTTGCGGCAGGGCTCCGCCACAATGTTGATGTCGAAGGCACAATGCTCTGCCAAAGCTCCCATTGAGATGCCACAGTCTCAGTCTCAGAGACACAACTGATAAAGTGTGACAAGTTCGCAGAAGTTGTCACTGCCTACAACCCTCTCAACAAAGACTGCGTTCAGAACATCAGCCGGTTGTTGCCCCTTGATCTTCCACATCTGAAATGCCACGAAGGAACTGAAGTAAACATCCTCTGCCCACTGCCCAGCCTGCGGGTCTCTTCCTGAACACCCAAGTAGCAAGTTAGATTCAAATCACCGCGCTGCAAACAATTCAAATGGCTGCTCTGTGTGTGTGTGCGTGTAACCTGCTAGTCACATGCAAGGCTTGCTTCCATGTTGTTATCTTTAACTTCTTCGAGATGTGGGCCCCTTCCTTTTCAAAGGCGGTAAAGGCGGTGGCGAATTCGAGTTAGCAGGGGGCACATGGGCACTTGGATGGCATGGGCCAACGAAGACCCATCCAAGTTGCGGTGCAAATGTACCTGGGCTAAGCCACAAACTCAGCTTGTTGAACACGAATCTACACTAGCATCACCCTGAATTGTAGGCCTCGTCTGAGGAGGTTCCAACCTGATCACTTTACAGCTCCTCAACTCTCCCATATCTCCAGTGTGTATGTGTGTGCGCATGCGTTTCACCACCTGTTCCCAAGGGCTGTTGTTAATTGGCTTTGGCTGAAATTCAAGCACTAGATTGGTAAGCATCCACATAACGTCTCGTGGCCATGTTGTTCGACGATTCTTCTATTCATGGCCCGCTTGCATGAGCTACATACATACGCTTATCAGACTGGGAGTGTGGGAGAGACCAAATGCGAATTGATCAAGCTAAGCATGATGTCATGCATTCCTTCTCAAGTGTCAAGGAACGCTCACGTTTCAGCCCAATCTGACGACGGTGGACAGCATAGATCAGCTTGGGCATGATATCAATACCTTTCAAAGACAAGCAAAAGTTTGGTTTGAAGAACCCGAGACAACTTCTTTTCAGGTTTTGGATCAAAGGTTCCGGTCACGTTTTTCGTATCCCTAGTATCCTTCATGATAGCCCTCTCCCTAGCGATGGACGAAGATAAAGGATATGTGGCATAACTACGAAAAGCTTGAATAAAACTCATACAGCAAGGCGCGTCTCACTGTCAGGAGGGATGCTGGGTGTCTGTCCCATTTGCTCCGCAGCACGAGTACAGCTGGACGAGATCGACAAGGTCCATAGGACACTCTCAAGTTTGCAGGGTGTTCCATTCGCACCTGGCCAAAGACATGTGATCTGTGAGGATTCCCCGGATGTGAGGTCAAAGCTTCATATCGAGGATACGATGCGAGCAAAGTTCATGAAAACTTTCTCTGAACTGATTCAATCTCATTTCAGAGCCCTGTGTCCCTCGAAGTCTAAATTACGTCGCACTTGGATTTCCCTATCGTGCAGCCTTTGTCTCCCACTTCTCCAAGAGTTGCTGCAGCAAGTTGGGTCCGTAGACTCTGAAGGCTTTGTCGTCTCGCATGATGAAACAGTCCTCCCCAACCTGGACGACATTATGTTGGGTGCGATGTTGAGATCGTGTCATTTGTTTCTGCATATTCTACCTTGTACAGCACAATTTCATCATCTTTCAATTTGTTCTACAGGTGTGCATTGTGCAGATATACTGTTGTCGAATCCTAATTGGTAAAGTGGGAAGACATGATTTAAAAGAATTGGCTGTATTATTCCCGCAGCCTGAATCATTTAGCGGGTGGAAATAATATTTTGAAAAACGCCCAGGGTGTTGTATAGGGGCTGCCAGCTGACCACCCTCCCTCCCACCCACCTCAAAATAATAAAGTTATTATTTTTAGGTGGGTGTACCCACCTGAGCATAGAATTATTGTGGAGGTAATATAGTTCAGAAATAATAAACCACACAGCATGATAAGATAGGGGGGGTGGTATAGACCACCCACCTAAGTGGGTAGATATATGGGGACAGCTCCTAGGAAAGTGTGCAGTAACAGCAATCGTAGGTGGTTCAAGCGCAACCACCTACAAAAAATAATCGCGCCCTCTTTTCTGCCATTCTCTCTCGGTTTCTCTGTGGTACCGTGAACGTCTGTCCAGTCTTTTTGCCTTGATGGGGCAGCCGATCCGGGAGAATATATGGAAAATATTGAGGACAAGCAAGATCTCTGTCCAAGGCAGGTCAAACAATCGCCGTATTTCAGGGGTGGGGCTGGCCTAAGGGACCTCTGAAATAATTAGTAGATCGACTGATTGACTGGAATGTGTGGATAGCGTGATATGGTCCATAAAATTATTTCAGGGGTGGGGTACCCCCTAAACGACCTGTTAAATAATAAATAAGGTGGGGGGAATGTTGCCAGTATTGGCCACTTATTCCATGGAAAATATGGAAAAGGTTGAAAACATTGAGGGGTTTAGTAGAAAGAACCAGTAAGGGAGGCAAGGCTTACCCCACAGACATCATTAATATATTCAAGTAACTATTTATTTTGGGGGTAGATGACAGGTAGCCCACCTGCCAAATAATATTATGTTTGTGCTCGAATGGATTCTGGATGGATCCCAGATAAAGGTATATAGCCCCCTGATAGGATGGATCCCAGCGAGAATTTGATGAGAGTGTGAAGCCGGCTGCTTTGGCTACCAGAGTTTTGGATCAGGTGTGCCTTGGCTAGTTCAAACTGATTGCAGCGCGACAAACGATGACTTGGTGGCAAAGCATAGCTGATTGATGTGGGAGTCAGACGTTCACGGTCCTACAGAGAAACCGAGAGAGAATGGCAGAAAAGAGGGCGCGATTATTTTTTGTAGGTGGTTGCGCTTGCACCACCTACGTTTGCTGTTACTGAACACGTTCCTAGGAGCTGTCCCCATATATCTGCCCACTTAGGTGGGTGGTCTATACCACCTCCCCCCCTATCTTATCATGCTGTGTGGTTTATATTTTATATCTTGATTGTCTCAGCTCTGTGGACAAGCACATCAAATTATTTTTGCTCTGGCACACGTACCCCTCCACCTGCCAAATCATTTCCAATAAACCCTGCATCATACCTTCTTCCACGGGTTATTGTTATTCTATGTCATTCAGTGCTAAAATAATATTTCAAAATAATATTTCATTATATATATTGCAACATGCCATACCATATTTTTTCTACATGGTAGATATTATTTTGACCCACCACCTACATGCCTTTCCAAATAATACTTTATTGATATTATTTCAAAAGACTTATTTGGAGACGAGACGGTCACCTCAAAATAATTTCGCTCGGCAGGGGCTATGGTGTTGTTTTCTGTTCTTTTCTTTTACTGTATATCTGGTGTGTTTTTTGATTTGGTTTTCCATTGTTCAACTATTGCTTCCCTTTCAGATTCTTGCTCAACCGGATTTGAGGTGTTGCTTCATTTTTTGAACATTTTGGAACTCTCACCTGAAACGCGTTTTCAAAACCCTTTTTTGAAACGCGTCAAAGTCATTGCTCCAAAATACTTTTCAAGCGGGGAGTACACAAGCGCAGGGGAAGTGAATTACACAAACTGTTCAGAGAGTCGGAATAATTCACAAACTTGAAGCCCTCGAAAAGATCTGAACTTGGCTTATTGATGCTTATTGTTCAGTTATTGATACAGTAACAGTTATTGCTTCCCTCTAAGATCCTTGCCTGACCTCTTCTGAGGCTTTACTTGGCTGCTGGAACTCTGACCTGAAGCTGATATTAAAAAAACAAACACCAAGATGGAACCCACGAACCCGAATGCAAACACGTACTCGAAAACAAACTCTCAAACAATTTTTGACACTCTTGCAAGGAACACTTTTGTGGGACACTCTTGTAGGACATTCTTGTGGGGCCGGGGCACTCTTGTAGGACAGTCTTGTAGGACATTCTTGTGGGACACTCTTGTGGGACACTCTTGCGGGACACCCTTGTTTGTCACTCACACTCTTGTGGGACGCTCTTGCGGATCAGTCTTGTATGAAACTCTTGCGGGACAGTCTTGTATGTCACTCTTGCGGAACTCTCCTGTGGGACACTCTTGTCGGACTTTCTTGTGGGACACTCTTGTGGGGCTCTCTTGCGGGATCCTTGCAGGACACCATTTGGAGGACACTTTTGTGGGGCACTCTTGTAGGACACTCTTGTAGGACACGCTCGCGGGACACTTGTGGGGCACTCTTGTTGGTCACTCTTGTGGGGCACTCTTGTATGACACTCACTCTTGCGGAACACTCTTGTAGGACACTCTTGCAAAACACTCTTGTAGGACACTGTTGCGCGTCGCTCTTGTGAGACACTCTCGTAGGACACTCTTGTGGGGCACTCTTGTGGAACACTCTCGTAGGACTCCCTGGTAGGACACTCTTGCGGGACACTCTTGTATGTCACCCTTGTGGGACACTCTCGAAGGACACTCTCTCTGCTCGAACACTGTTGTACTTCAAGTCTACAAAACGAGCGCTTCGTACGAGACTTCCTCCAAAAGTCACACGTCAAGTCTCCAAAACGCGCGCTTCGCACGAGACTTCCAAAAATATCTCGTCAAGTGCAAGTCTTCAAAATGCGCGCTTCGCACGAGACTTCCAAAAATAACTCGTCAAGTGCAAGTCTCCAAAATGAGCGTTTCGCACGAGACTTCCTCAAAAACTCACACTTGAAGCCTGCAACACAAGCGTTTCGTACGAGACGTCCTCCAAAAGTCACGCGTCAAGTCTGCAAAACAAGCATTTCGTTCGAGACTTCCTCCAAAAGTCACGCGTCAAGTCTCCAAAACGAGCATGTCGCACGAGATTTCCTCCAAAACTCACACGTTTAAGTCTCCAAAACGAGCATTTGGTGCGAGACTTCTTCCAAAAGTCAAGCGGGAAGCCCCGTCAGAGCACACGCCAATCCCGATGTCACAGCGACATTCACCTCCACCACATTTCGCGACCTCACAATTCCCTGCGCCTGCCACGAACACTTACGCGTCCACACGTCTAACACGCACTGCACTTGCCACGAAATGTGACCTCCGCCACACCTTGCAACCTCACGATTCCCTGCGCCTGCCACGAAAATCGCACTTCCACACCTCAAAGCCCGCACGAAGTACTGCACCTGCCACGAAAGGTGACAATATCATATCATGTGAGCTTCAACAAAATTTGCACCACACCACACGTTTGGAATGATTTCGACGCGTTCTGAGCACACTCCCGTCCACCAAAATCGCCACAAAAACAGCTTCGGTGCAACATCCTGAACGCCAATCCCAATGTAACAGCCACATCCAACACCACAAAAACACCACTCTCCAAACGCCAATCCCAATGTGACTGCGCAGAAAACTGCGGATCTCACAAAACGCTGCGCCTGCGCAGTGAAATCATCCTCCACACTTCAGATCAACATCTTACGTTTCCACACGTTTCCGCGCTATTTCACACGAATCTGACACATCACGCTTCCATACCAAACCCTCTCCAAAACCTTTCCCCAATGGCAGCGGCCTTAGCGGCCTACCGCGGACGGCGGCGGTCGGTTGCGGACGGTTGACAGCGGCTGCGAACGCTGAGACAACGGGTCGCGAACAAGGCTCTACCCCCAGACCCACAGTTAAACGAGAACCCTTCGGAACTTCGCTACGCGCTCGGGAAAAAGAAAACTATATATATATATATATGTATATATAAGTATTATTACAACTCCTCGAAATCAGGGCCCAAACAAAAATGTGAGAGTGCACCCACCTACCACCCAGCCATCACACACGGCTTTTTCACAGTTGCCAGTGGCTGACCCCTACTCCTACTACTAATAATAAAAATATACTACTACTAATAATAATATACTACTACTAATGATATACTACTACTACTACTACTACTACTACTACTACTATTACTAATGATATACTACTACTACTACTACTACTACTACTACTACTACTACTACTACTA